CTGCGTTACATATTGCTGAGGTAATAAAATGTCCAGAATGGTGAACACAACATTCACAGAAACCAGACAGCAGTAATACCAGATGCATCATCAGGGCTTGCTTGCAAGGAGGAAGAACTACAAGAACAAACTGTGTAAGGAAGATTTCCTCTACAAGACCACTAACGTAATAACTACTTCAAGGTACCACAGCACAGATGGGAGAACTACAGCAAGAAGTACAATATGTACTCACATGGCTGTGGTTTATTTCATGAAGAAATATAAAAATGCTTCACTGTATTTACATACATGGGCTTGCCAGATCAACCAAACCTCACTCCTTGAGCACATTTGGTTCCTGTGACTTCTCCTTAATCATAGCATCATACACAGCGTCTGCCTTGTAGCATCACAGTCTCTTTCACTAAAGAACTCCATGTGTGAAATAGAGTCACCACCCCATCACATCTGGTGTGGGTGCCCAAAGAGGTGAGAGCACTGTCCTGATCCTGCACAGCAACCAGGGGCTTGTCATGTGCTGAAGGCCTTGCACCCAAAGGCGATCTGCTAGCAATACATCACCCAGCTGCAGCCTAGTGTTATGAGCCCTTCCACATCAAGTGGCTCCACGTGCCTAGACAGCACATCCACCACAACACCCTGCAACGCCTCCACCCCACGATAGGATGCTGCAGACCCCCTCCTTCCACTCTTGGGACAAAAGCAGTTTCAAGTCATTTCAAAGGTCTGTCTACATGGTTTACTGGGTGCATTCATCCCAACAGTTGCCCTACTGTCATTAGAAAAGTTAAAGGCATGCAAAATGAAGTCCTGCTTGAATAACGTATGAGCCTGAAAAGTTAGGTACGCAGCGCCTAGCAGAAATCTGTAGCTTAAGGGGAAAAAAAAAAAAGAGTGTTCAAAAACATTCCTACTTTTCTAAGTGTTTTAAAAAACCCCGGGGCAAATATTTCTATCTTACATTCTTTTCAAAGGCACTGATCCAAGTGTTTAGAGCAGCTTGAGCTGTCAATTTACAAACTTACTGCTGCCCTGCATACAAAGCAGTGTTTTGGGACAAATATATGCATATATCCAAACGGATAATTAACAGCTTGCAGTTGGTACTAATTGCTACTCCCCTGAGACTTTGCACTGCATCCATTCAAAACCATCAACTATTGTTATTTGATCACAAGCTACAGTGGTTTGAATTACATGAAAATCCGAGTTTTCATCACAAGAAACACCAAACTTCTAGTAAACGTCTCCAGAAAATCTTGAAAATATAGTTGAGACACACCTGGGAAATTTTAAAGTTCAGAATGTAGTTAGGAAGAAAACAACATTTATGTTTTTAAAACTGTCCTAACTGTTTTGAGGGGGCATAAACCCTGATTTTTCAATACTGTGGACTGGTACAATCCACTGCTGTTTTGTCTGACTGCCATGACTGTGATTCCAGCCATTTTTACGGCTGTGCAAACAAAACTTGTGTCATTGCTTCGAAGTAGGTCAGTAACTGTAACTCCTATTTTACAGATAAGGAAATCAGAACAGGGGATGACAATGACTTTTCAAAGACAAAATTTAAGTCAGGAAAATAAAAAGGCAAGTTCAGAACCTGGCTTCTCGCTACTCTCAATTTTACACTCTACTAAATCTCGTTCCTTCTCAAAACGAAAAGGGTTGGTAGCACTTCCTAATATGCCGCTAGTCAGGCTGAGACAATGTGTCTCCTAACAACGCATCAGCAAAAGTTGATTTTCTCTCACGTTGTGATTAGGCAGCAAAGAAATATTACACATAGATTTTTCTTAACTGTTCATTCATGTTTAGTGGGTAATTCAGCATTACACTTCTCCTTCTTTGTTTCCCCTTCTTCTTTGTTCCCCAGGGCTCAGTTTTGGGGCTGGTCTTGTTCAATATCTTTATCAATGATCTGGATGAGGGGATTGAGTGCACCCTCAGTAAGTTTGCAGACGACACCAAGTTGGGTGGGAGTGTTGATCTGCTCGAGGGTAGGAAGGCTCGGCAGAGGGACCGGGACAGGCTGGATTGATGGGCCGAGGCCAACTGTATGAGATTCAACAAGGCCAAGTGCCGGGTCCTGCACTTCGGCCACAACAACCCCATGCAGCGCTACAGGCTTGGGGAAGAGTGGCTGGAAAGCTGCCTGGCGGAAAAGGACCTGGGGGTGCTGGTTGACAGCCGGCTGAACATGAGCCAGTGGTGTGCCCAGGTGGCCAAGAAGGCCAATGGCATCCTGGCCTGTATCAGCAATAGTGTGGCCAGCAGGAGTAGGGAAGTGATCGTGCCCCTGTACTCGGCACTGGTGAGGCCACACCTCGAATACTGTGTTCAGTTTTGG